GAGATGTTGTGGAGAGATGGGTGCAATGCTCCAGCGGCCCGCATCAAGCAGCACCAAGTCCCACCAGGATCGCCGCCATGCAGTCAAAAGGCATTGGCCAAGTTCGTTTTTTTATCCTTTTCAATGCCAGAACATGACAAAAAGGGCATCTTCCCAAGCCCAGAGATCATCAGCCCAATGCCACCAAAAGTTGTTTGTTCTTGGGTCAATATAGCCTGGGCCACCGATGGTTTCTGACAAATTTGAAAAACATGAAGTCCATATATCCTGAGGACGCGGCACGTCCACCCAGAGCTTTTCAAACAGTCAAATTTGCGATGGACATTTTCGAAGGCCTGGAGGCTAAGCGGATCTGCCGAAACACCCTACAAGAATACCTTCCGTCCCTTCGTTCCTGCCCCCCTGAGCATCGTGCCCGCAGTTTCTCACGCATCACCTGCCAGGGCAAGCTCACCCGGGAATATCTCTTAGATGCCCTACGTTCATGGCCTCTACTGTCATCTTTACTGCCGGGCATGCACGGTTAGGCTTCGGTGGTGTGGGGCTCTCCTTCAAGGCCTGCAAGGACAGGCAACATGCATGAACATGCTTCACATCCGAGGGGCCGCACCTCCAAGCTCAACCATAAAGGTTCAGCAAAAGGCCAAACGGCCATGAGACGGTCTCGCAAAGAAAATAAAGGACCAGCATGCAACACTGAGCAGGGCATGTGTTGAACGAATCGCATTAACACCTAAGAGCCGCACTCTTTTCCGTGACATCAGCCTTGCGCCAAGTCTTGCGCCTGGATCGCCGACTTTCTGCTTTAAACACAACAATCAAACCCTTGGGGTTCTGTTCTGAGGACACGACTGCTTCACCGTCAAGGAATCTTCAAAAGCAGCCGCAACCGTATTTGTAGCCGGGTCATATTTTTGCCTCGTGTACACCATAAAACCAAGACGAATGATCTGCTACCAGGAGCAAACTCTGAGGCTCGGTCTGATAATATGCTCGGGGTAAGTGTTCCATCCTGAAACAGCACTCCCGTGGCGCATATGCTCAAGTGTTGCTCACCCTCTTTTTCAAGTCGATAAACATTGAAGCGCGCCTCACAATTTGACACCGCTGTCAGAGATGATTCCCAACAAAGTCTTGGGCAGAAATGGCTTCTGCTTTGGTGGCATAACTTTAGATGACAAAAGCATGCGGGTGCCCCTCGTAAAATTAATATACCCAATCGTCAGTTGCTGCTTAGGCAAACATGTTCCCACGAATTGCTTTCACATCAATCCAATGATTGGTTGCATAGCCGCAGCCTTGCTTTTATCGCAAACAAATACGTTAGCTCTCGGTGAGACTGTTTTTTCCTCTTTCCTGCTCAGCGGCCCCAAAGCGATATCCGAAGTAGCCGCAGCGGCACCAAAGCGATGCCCGAAAAAGTTGGTCCTGCATGTCACACTAAGGAGGCCTTTGGTGTGATCAGAAAGCAACCCAGCAACGGATTTCAATATCGAGCTAAGATCGCGACGTTCTGCTTTTCTCTATATGAAGACAAGAAAGGCAAAGGCCAAGGAGCAGGATTAGAAACATATAGGTGCTTTCTGGACCTGCGACAAAGAAGATAAGGTGACTGATGCAGAAAAGGGAAGATAAGGTGGCTGATGCAATCGTTCTCGCGCTGTGAACAAGCAAGGCGACACGCATGGATTGAACCAGTCGCAGCTAAGAAGCAAAGAAAGAAGCATCCGGCCATATGATGTCGTCAATATTGACCTCGGATCAACAGGAGAAGATGGCTCAATCTTTTCCCATCGTTTCCAGCAAAGGTGCGAAACGACGCTCATCCGGAACAAGAAGCATCTATCTGCATGCTTTTGAATCATAGGCCCAATGCCTGTTCTGTTACACCTAGTTGCAGCCGAGGCTCGGAATCAAGAACATCTCATTGCGCAACCACCTCAGTAATAGGCTCGGGATAAAAACGACCATGTGGCTGACATGGTTTCAACCAAATACTGTCGAGGACTGGAACAAGAAGCGTTTATCCACACGATTGCCTCATCAAAAGGTGCGGAGTAACGGAGCTTGATAAACGCGTTGTGTATTCGTGTTCTTCTGGAGGGGGCGCTTCTACCAAGTCTTGCTGGCCTTGCCAGACTCTGTGTAAGGAGAGGCGGGAAGCATGCTTGCGAATGCCATTTGCCTGTTGCCAGGAGCTAAGGTCACCTCCAAGAGTGGCTTGTTGATCGCTTTCAGCCTCCCTGTCAATGATGGAATAGTCCCAGGCGAGGACGCCTTGGTGCCACAAATCGACAATTGAAATGCTCTTGGCTGCTTGAACTGCATCCCGCCTATCTGCGAAACACGGGGTCTTCCCAATTGCAAATCGCCCTGCTCATGATCCATGTATACATGCTGGAGCCCCTTACAGCAGCAGTTGCCTTGGCGGCTGCCCTGATTGCATGCTTTGCTTGCTGGAGTACCTTTTGGGAGCAGCTTCCGTTGCAGCGGACACATCTACCAGGCATGCGAAAACGTTTCAAGAGCGTGTCGACATGCTCGAAACCACGGGACCGCTTGACATAGCCCTGTATCACAGACACCACCGTGCTAAACGCAGAACAGCTGTTTCAGGCCTCTGTCGTCGAAGGAGCTGCCGGTTCCGTTGCGTCTTGAGTAGACTGAAAGCGGGCTGCTTTGCCATGTGTAGCAAGAATCCATTGCTGCTTGCGCTTGTATGCTTCTTTGAAACTCTGCGCTGTCCAAATAGGTAAATGGCTAAGTTGCAGGCAAGTACCGTTCCGTTGGGCTTGCTGGCTGATCTCAGTAAGCAGAAGGGAAAGCTCCACAAACAACCAGATGTCGTTTTCCGAAAACGAGGCAGAGGTCGGAAGGCGACGTCGGCGATGCTTGTTTGTCCTTCGAGGCTTTCATTGCCCTTGGTTGCTGTTTGGGCGAAGCACCCTGATGGCTATGGTTTCTGATGCTTTGATCCAATCGTGTCTGCCTCACTTAACCGGCAAAACACAAAGAGTGGCTGGCGGGCACTTTCTCAGCAAGATGGCTCTGGTTGACCTCGCTGTTGCTAATCCTGTACGTAGGATAGAAGTCAAGTGCTCAGTGATCCTGCTAGGGAGGCCAAGCTTACCTTGTGCTCTTTGAAGCAAGGCTTTCCCAATATGGGTGAAGGAAGAGCTAAACAAACAGTACACCGCAGCCTCATCGTCAGTACCATGACCTTCCACTGCTTGCCGTGAAAAACGTAGGCATTGATTGATTGCGAAGCTACCAGGAAAAATTCAATCAAAGCCTCTCGCGAAGTGCTCACTGCTAGGTGAGCGACTTGCTTGGCCCGCTGCTTGTTTCTGTGCAGTCGCGCCTGTAAAAACCCTTGGATTGTCATCAGCGTGGCTACGAACCTTTCCAGGGATCTATTGGTGCGATGCGTCTTCATTGTCTGTGGGAATAGAAAGGAGATGCCGATCACTAGAACCTGCTGAATCATCGAAATCAAGCTTCGCAACTCAAAGTGCGACCAAACCGACAAACTAGTATTTGCCCACAAAACATCAAACAAGCTGTTCCAGCAAAACATATTTGGGTCTTCCTCATGCCTGCTGTTCCAGATCTGCTGTACTTGACGAAAAAAACAGTTTCAACCAAATTCAAACTTGTATTCGCCAAAACAAATTAGATTCACCAGAGCGAAAATGAAATAACTGTATGGAGGTAGATTCACCAGAGAGAAAATGAAATACCCGTATGGATGGCCGTGAAAGGCCGTACGTGTGCCGGAGAACTAAAAGCATCTCCGTTTCACCCGGACTCCTCCACGCGGTCTTGCACTCAATATGAAATGCGTCAATGAAGGATTCGTAGAGAGACCCTGGAAGCTCCAAATCCTTTTTCGCCACCAGCCCCTGCATGTGCGGCTCGAAAAGAGGCTTAAGCGCCGGCCTAAACCAGTGGCCTTCGAGTCAAGAATCACGGAGAAGCGTGGATTGAAAGTGATTGAATTCTTGTTTTTGTTCCTCCTCTTCCTCTTGTTCCTCTTTATGATCAAACGCTGATGCGAATCAGCACAACTGAGAAGATGGAAAGATACAATTTTCTGCTTCTCTGCGGTTGAACGTGTTCCCTGCTGCACTAAACTAAGCCCAGCTTGTCATCCTCCCCAAAAAAGGAGTTCTGGAAAACTGAAAAAAGTAAAATAAAACCGGAAAAACACAGTCAACCAGCCAAGACTCTATATATATATACACATATACATATATATATATACATATATATAT